TTAATTAAGCTACGTACTAGCTAGCATTAAAAATCTGGCTGACTACCACATGTAACAGGAAGAGGAGGGGATGAGGATTCAGGACGAGGGAAGGATGAGTCATTTACCTCTGCAAATGTATACAATAAGATGTGTATAAGATACAGCTTATAGATATAATGTATAATTAAATGAGTAAATCTCTAAAAAAAAATTAATTATAATAATATATTATAATTATAATTTTATTTGTTTATATTTTTTACTAACAAGCAATCTGCTGGGGATCACAAACTATGCACCTTGAAAAAAAAAAAAAAAAATCAGCTGAAGAAAAATTGTAAGCTATACTTTTTTTTAAAACACTGTTTTTAGTAATTTTAATTTAATTTTTTAATTTTTTAAATATAAAATTTAGTAAAAACTTTAACATATTTATAAATAATGGTTGATATTTTTTTAATAAAATAAAATTATTTAACAGAAATTTTATTTTAAAAAAAATTAAAATTAATATATGCTATTCTCGACGTAATATATGTCACATTGATACCATACTTGTAGGTAAGATAAATAAGTTGGGGATCGATGAGAAAGTAAGATTGCCTAAATTTGAATATCATCGCACCTAAAAAAGAGATTGAACTATTAAGCCATTTGGGGCGGGATTTTAAGGAGATCCAATCTACAGATATGAATAAAAAACATGAGAAAAGTGAGTAGATATGTATCAATACATATGTCATGACCAGTTGCATTATGGAAACTGTTGTTGATGGACCATTTGCACTTGAAAATAGTGTTTCTTTATTCTGGGTTTTGTTTTTCGGGAATGTTTTATCATTTTTTTTTCTTCTGCCGTATGAAGTGTTGGATCCATATGCACCGTCTTTCTATGAAATAGAATCTCATGTTTCTTGGATTTGCATATAGATGCTTTGGTTCTCCAATTGATATGTTGTCCTATCAAAAGATTCAGTTTTTGCTCTCTTTCTCTCGCTTTTTATTTGTTTATATTTTTTACTAACAAGCAATCTGCTGGGGATCACAAACTATGCACCTTGGAAAAAAAAAAAAAAAAAACAATGACGACAGATGGAGTGATTTTACCCTCTTTAATTATTACTCTTCAGACTTTAGATATGTAATATGTTTTTGAAATACTTTTAATATTTAGAGTGCTTAACAACCTTAACAAAAGATTTTAAGTTTAAATTTGGAGATGGAGACAAAGGAATTGCAAGAAGAGGATGACAAAGCGACATAAGTTTCAGAGGATGTTTTAACCATAAAACTTGTACTTTTTAACTAAGATGTCTCAAATTGAATTAAGTCTTTAAATTGGTGGGAAGGAATTTTGAAAAGAAGCTATCAATAGTGTATAACTCACTCAATACGCTAAACCGACTCTTAGTTAATTTTGAGGTGTTTCTACCTCCTGCGGTATATTATGAGACAAATTAATAGAGACAGCTTTTTTGGCCAAAAGATTGATATAGCTTTGTTGATATAGATAAGGATATTAAAATAGGGCTGCCGGGCTGTGTGGATGAGGATGATGAGAACTTTTTGGGGTGGGGAACGTCTATTATTTAATTTTGGGGAATATTTTATGTGATAGATTTTGGTACGACTATTTTAATGTTCTCAAAGTGAAATAACATACCTACAATTGTTCATTATGACTTAATAATTATGTGACTAATTTTTTTATTTGAAAGTTATACATAATTGATTTACTTATTTAATATTACTTTATATTATGTAATACACAATGAGAAAAAATATATATCAATCTTAA